GAATTATATGCTGACAATGAGATTTTAACTGCACAATAATAAAGAATCGATCAACTATCAGAGCATATACCATCTTGAACTGTTGTCATATCAAACGATTTTTTATCATTGTTACTAAAATTTTCCTATTGATATTCTGACTGGAGAGAGATAGTACAGAAGTAATGTCGAAAGAAAGTGATCTTCTCATCAGAAAATCCAATGAGATAGGTGAAATGATAACTTACTCTCCAATTGATGACATGCGGCTCTCCGCACGTGGATCTTCCAGGCCGCAACCGTTTTAAAGGGTTGCTGCGGCCTGGAGCAGTTTGGTAGGCGGCACCCTAAAACAAATTCAATTAATGACGTGAATTCAGAGCGATCAGAAACACATCAATGGACTGGTGATACTTTAGAGGGTTTATCTCCGTCATAAAAATATTCGTTCAATGTTTCACTTTTGAACGCATAAGTCCGTCCTATTAAATATCGTTCGCTACTCGAATCATTGTTATTTGATGAATATCGGTTAAACATTGATGGTTAGATAACATATCAACTGAGCTATCATCTTAAGTCAACTTACAAATTTGTTGTTGGTCGCATATATGATATGCTTCGTGTTCCGGTGCCGCCACCTCGACGCGGTGTTCCGGCCGCAGCTCCTCGATGTTGTGCGGCCGGAACGGTTGGGGTTGTGGCCTCGGCTGCTCCTGTGGTTGTGCTGGTAAGGGCTGTCTTCTCACCAGGCGGCTGCGCCTGAAATTGTTGTAATTTTTTGTTTTTTTTTTCTTGATGATTCAAACGTTGTTTTGATGATGCATGAAAGATTGATTCCTATCAAAATTTACTTCTCAAGATGCCTTTCAAATTACACAATTCTACGTCTACTAGGTGTTGTTTCAGAATGGTCATTTCAGATCCTACTCCAGTTCAATTTGCCATCAGGATTTCGTCGTTCCAATGATTAGATATCCAAATATCCATCTATGTTTCATTGATCTCAACAATTTTAGCATGTCCAACCGACTACTATATCTATCGACTATGCGTTGCTCTACGTATTACCAGCACTTTAGAGCACTTATCCAACAATAAGCAAACATATTCATCATATACTTTAAAGCGTAATTTTAGCGATCATACATTCACGAACAGAATACAAAGAAAATTCAGGTCAGAACGGCAACTTACAGCTCGTAATGGTGGGGCTGCGCAGCCCCCATCTCGATATCGGGTTGGGGTTGTTGTTGTGGTTGTTGGGGATGTTGTGGCTGGGGTTGGGGGATGGGTTGGGGTAGGGGTTGGGGAAGGGGCTGGGGCAAGGGAAGGGGTAGGGGGTCGTTAATGGGTAAGAAAAGGTCGTGGGGGTCCTCGGGCTCGGGCTCTGGAATGGCGGGGCCCTCCATCTCCATGCCGGGTGAGTGCTCCCTCTCCGGCAGTACCTGAAATCGCTGTTCGGTTGATTTGAGTCATTATGAATCTGCTTAAAATCACTTAAGAACTCCATTCCGTCAAAATAGATTCTGTTACAGTCAGAAAGTATCTTCAATTCGCTACTGCTATCTGTACTATTCATAAATGTCATTTCCGTAGCCCTATCGTTTCGCATTGCCCCTAATAACATTTCTCAATTAACACGATAAAACGATGAATAATATCATGTCTTCTGGAACAGTCATCACGTTCATCGTTCTTGATGACTGATTTTGATCTTAGAAACTTCGAAACGTCCAAAAGTTTTCTCGTTAATGGCCTCAATAATCACATGTTATTGCTGAAATAATTCGATGGATATATCACTCAGTATAACTTACGTCGAGTCTCTCCTCCTCCACCTCATACTCTCCCATCTCTTCCACACACTCTTGCGTCTCGACGTACTGAAATTCATGAATGTTACTGATGTGAATATCTCAAGATTGGATTTTGACAAATTCCACTGATAAATTTTGATTGTAGAATTTATCAGTGAAAACATTATTCGATCAATGGAATTATTTTTAGCTTTCATCTCTTAGAAACAATCACAAATGTATGGCTGAAAATCGACTGATTATTAAGTCTTACCTGGGTCGAGGGAGGACTGATTGGGACGACGTAGCAGGCATCGTCCCGTTTGATGATTGTGTAAATTGGCCCTGCTACGCCGTACCTCAGCGTCCTGGCCTGTTGAAGGACGACCAGGAGCTGAATATCACTCATCCGGCAGATTGTTTCGATTAGTAGGGGGGAGGGCGCCCCCATCCTGGCCGCTCGCACTAAAATAACACGAAAATTATCTAATGTTCTCAAAGTAGATAGAAAATGGTTAGAAGGTATCATCCAAAGGAGCTTTTCCATGTATCTTTTCCCCAGTCAAGGCACATTTTTCAGATCGCTCATTCATCAATTATAGCTCTTCTTTCACTAATGCGATGTCGGTTTCATCAGGTTTCAATTCCACTATCGGATAATGTTCCATCATANGATTGCTAGTCTATGTTCAATTATCATTGAGGTTTTCAATTTACAGTCGCTATAAATTTTCATGAATTACAAGATAAATGAAAGAATGGCGCATAACAAAAGCATTGTTCCAACACTTACGGATTGATTGGATCCCCTGACGGGGATGCGGCTGCCTCATTGTGAACGGCCAGTTTCTTCTGACCCACCATTCCAGATGTTGCATGGCCGGGATAAACGAGAGAATTCCCAGCGCCTCCAATAGATTCCGGCAGAATACCTGCCCATGTCCCCCGGTCTCCTGGACGTCCCCATGGAGCCGGGTCTCCTCGTTGCCGTTGACTCCATAAAGCGCGCGGTACAGGTGGTTCCTTGTGCGAATATAATGGTCATCTACGTTGCGGTCTCTCATTTTGTTAAATTCTGAAATGGATTCACCGCCATACAATCTTGACCGGTAAGATTCTTTGGCATACACTCAAGTAATATCTCTCTTAGCTAACTCGGAAAAAATCTCATGCTAAATTTGAGTTAGGGCAATAAAAATTGCATGCGAATCCGACCAATGATCAACAACTGATGTGCAGTGTTGATAATGTGACGTGTTCTCAAACAGGAGACGTGGGAGACAAACGAAGGAATATTTTGACAAGAAGTGAAATATCCATGTGATT